ATAGTCCTTGAGAGTTCATTTCCTAGATTGATACCTGGCTGGTAAGATCCTGCTACCTAGATTCAGCCTGTGAGCTGAAGTTGTTTGTTCTCAGATTGAAGGACTCCCTTTAGTAATTCTTGTAAATTTGGTTTGGTTTTTACATAGTCACTTAATTTCTGTTTATCTGGAAATGTCCTAATTTCACTGTCATATTTGAATGAGAGTTTTGCAAGATATATTATTGTTGGCTGGGAATTTTTTTCTTTCAAGGTTTTATATATGTCATCCCATTACTTTCTTGCCTGCATGGTTTCTGCCGATAATCTGAGCTTAGTCTTATTGTTTCTCCTCTGTATGTGACTTTTTGTTTTTCTTGAGCTGCTCTCAGGATTCTTTGTCTTTGGTTTTGGTGAGTGCGATTATGATATGCCTTGGTGATTTTCTTTTGGGATCTGTCCTATACTGGGTTCGTTGGGCTTCTTGGATGGCGAGCTTTTCATCTTTCATGATATTGGGGAATTTTTCTGTCATCAGTTCTTCAATGATCCTCTCTGTTTTCTGTTTTCTTGCTCTGTTCTGGAACTCCATTCACTTGCATATTTTTGCTTTTTATTGTATCTCACAGAATTCTCAGTGTCTCTTCATTTTTCTTCATTCTTTTTTCTGATTTTTCCTCAGAGTTGTATCCAAGTGTTTGTCTTCAATTTCGCTGATCCTGTCTTCTGTCATTTCAAACCTGCTCCTCAGCCCTTATATGACACTGTCTGTCATGGTTTGAATTACGTCCCCCCAAAAATGTGTATATATTTGGCTGGGCCATGATTCCTGGTACTGTGTGATTTCCCTATGTGTTGTAAATCCTGCCCCTATGATGTTAATGAGGGAGGATGGGTGGCAGTTGTGTTGGTAAGTCAGGACCTGGTCTACAAGACTGGATTGTGCCCTGAGGCAATCTCTTGAGATATAAAAGACAGAAGTGAGCAGTGAGATAGGCGGACCTCATACCATCAAGAAAGCAGTGCCAGGAGCAGAGTGTGTCCTTTGGACTGGGGTCCCTGCCCCAAGAAGCTCCTAGTCCGGAGGAACACTGAAGAGAAGGCCAACATAGAGAAAAAGGCTTCCCCTGGAGCTGATGCCCTGAATGTGGACTTTTAGCCTACTTTACTGTAAGGAAATAAACTTCTCTTTGTTAAAACCATCCACTTGTGATATTTCTGTTATGGCAGCACTAGATAACTAAGACACTGTCCATTTCTGAAATCTTGTTGTTTATCTTTTGGATTTCTAATTGTTGTTTTTCTATGATTTATAGTTGTGAATTATTTTGGAACTTTGTTCCTGTATTATTTTCCTGAATTCTTCCATTTTTTTGTCTGTATTTTCCATGAATTTGTCTGCCTTTTCCATGAATTTGTCTATTTTTTCCTCATTTTTGTCTGCTTTTTGCTTCAACTCTTGGATAGCTCTGAATATTAGAGATTTGAATTCCCTATCAGGTAGTTCTAGTGCCTTTTCTCCTACTGGAAAGTCATCTGGTGTTTTATTTTGGACACCTGCTGGAACCATCCTGTCCTGTTTTTGTAAATGTTTTGATATTGTCTGCTGTCTTCGGGGCATTTGATAGTTATTTTTCTCATTTACTGATTGTAGATTTGTTTGTTTCATCCTTTTTTGGGTTTTATTTGGCTATGTCTGAGCAGGCGGGCTGTGTTTTCTTTGTTGTTTGCTCATCTGTGGGTATGATACGTATTGCCTCCTTCTCCAATTGGCAGGGTCAGTTGCTCAGATATGATACAGCAGGGCAGGTCTAGCTTAAAGAGGAGTTGCTGTGATGGGTTGTTTGTGGCACTTACTATGGCCACCAGGGTGGGCCGGTAATCAGTGCAGGGCAGGTTCCAGTGGGCCGTGCCTTGGCTGCTTGGTGGTGTGATGTTCAGTGCACGGTGCAGGTAGGCAGGATGGAGGGGAGAGATTGTGATGTGTGGAGCTAAGATGAGTATGGGAGAGAGGAGAGAGGGGAAAGAGGAACAGGAGCCAAAAACATACAAACAAACAAAAAAGAGTGCTAGGAGAGCTTGCCGTTGGAGTGGAGAGATGAGAGACTATTAAATGGAGAAAAACAAAAAGGAGAAGAAGAAGAAAAAAAAGAAAAAAGAAATGAATAAATGAAAATTAGAAAGAAAAAAGAAAAGCAGAACTCCCAGGGATCCCACAGGTGCAGCTACGAGGTCTGGAGAAGTTGCTCCCAAGCCGTGAAGTACAGCCTGACTAGAAGGTGTAGAGGTGTCACTGAGTGCCAGGTATTAAGAAGACAGGAAGAGAAGGAAAGTATAGAAAGATGAGAAACTGAGTAATTAAGAAAGACAAAAAGGGAAAAAGAGGGAAAAGAAAACAACAACAACAACAAATTTAAAAAAAGAACAAGAAAACCCCCCAAAAAACAGAAAAAAAAACCAAAAAACCAAAAAACCAAGAAAAAAGAAATGCTCTCAGGGATCCCTCTGCGCGTCTGTGCAAACTGAGGTCTTAGGTCCCAACCCGTGCGGTACTGCCCAGCTAGAATGGTCTCCCAATTTGAGAAAAGAAAAAGAAAACAAATGAGCAATTCAAATCAAACAAACAAAAAGCTCTGGGATCCCAAAAGCATGGCAGCACAGGCCAGGAAGCAGTCTCACATTCAAGCAGCATTTCACAGCCTTTCAGGAAGAAGCAAAGATGGCACACGGAGCCAGGTATTTGAGAGAAAGGAGGGGAGGTGGTGAGAGGTAAGGAAGAAATCTAAAGAGCGGAAAAAGCAACACCAGCAGCCAACAAATGGCACTTAGGGAGCTTGCCAGTGCGGGTGGGTGGAATCCAAGTGACACTGGGATGAAGCCGATGCTTCCCAGCCAAGAAACTGTGGCTGCAGGAAGTAGAGGAGGCCAAGTGAGGGTGAAGAAGGGTGGGAGGGGGGAAAGCGTATATCACTGGTTACCAGTTGTTCTGTCTCCTGCTGCTTTCTCGTACCCCCTGTTTGCTGGTCTCTGATGGGAGTCCAAGATGGTGGATCTGTGCTGCAGTAGCTGATAGGAGACCTCTGCATGTACCTCTCCTCACTCTCTGTTCTCAGTCAGTTTCTTATTCCATTCAGTGCTTGGCTGAGTTCTTTATCTTTTCATTTGATGCTTAGGGTTTCAGGATTGCTGTTTTCTCTGTTTGGCTTAGTTTCTCGGATCTTTGCTGTGGAGGGACTGTGTGGTGCTTCTGCCTATAGCACCATGTTGCCTGGAAGTCCTATTTCTAGGTTTTTAAGGATGCACTGTATCATTTTCCAAAATGATTGTACTGTTTTGCATTCCCGCTAGCAGTGTGTAAATTTCCAATCTCCCTGCAACCTCTCCAGCATTTGTTATTTTCTGTTTTTTTGGTTCCTGCCAGTAATGTCTGGGTGAGATGGTATCTGATTGTAGTTTTGATTTGCATTTCTCTGATGGCTAGTGATTGTGAGCATTTCCTCGTGTGTCTGTTAGGTGCCTTAATGTCTTCTTTGGTGAAGTGTCTGTTCATATCCTTTGCCCATTTTTTAACTGGATTATTTGTCTTTTTATTATAGAGGTGTTGAATTTTCCTATAGATATTAGAGATTAGACCTTTGTCGGATATGTCATAGCCAAAATTTTTTTCCCAGTTTGTAGGTTCTCTTTTTACTCTTTTGGTGAAGTCTTTTGATGAACATAAGTGTTTAATTTTCAGAAGATCCATTTATCTTCTGGTGTTTGTGTATTAATAATTATGGTTTGTATCCTGTTTATTCCATATATGAGGACTCCTAGTGACTAGTCTCGAGTTCTTGACCCAAATCTGGACAGTCAACTACAGCTGTGGTGTGAGGTCATGTTCAGCACGGCTGCTCTGTCAGCAGCCATGTAGAAGGAGAAAGGAAGTGGCAATTCCTGGAAAAGGGAGATTGAACAACAATTCAGTAAATATCCACATTGTGCCTCCTTACAGAGATCACTGTCTGCCCTCCTTCCTTCCAGGGGAACACGCAGCTCAGAAGGAGGGGAGCCTCCGCCTTGCCCTGGCAGTTTTCCATTAATCATTATCAATGGCACTCACTGTGTGCCAGGAAGCATGGGGCTCCCACCCTGCAAGCCACAATCCCTCTCTGAAGAGGGGCATTCTTATCTCCGTACCTGGGAAAATGGAACATGATGCCTCCTGATTGCCAGTGTTCAGCGTTGGTGCCACCCCCTCTCACATATGGACAGCAGGAGATGTGCAGAGGGCTTGGTTGGTACCTTCAGAGCTCTTTCTGGCTCCCAGTGGGTGGTACAGAAACTGGCTGTCCCTTCATCACTGTGCTAAGCAGACCCACTGTTCAGAGCGGAGTTCTGACAGTATTCTCTGCTGCCTGTAACCTGCTCTGTTCCATCTCTTTGCAGATCCAGACCATGTCCCTCAGGAAGGTGGAGGGTAAGTCTGTATGGGGGGTTTGTAACAACCTTGGCTGCTATCTTGGGCTCCTTATCCCCTCTTATCCCTGAACAATGTATTTATAGTTTGGGGTTTGGTGACAACAGCTTCTGGGACATGTGGTGTCTGGCTCACCAGCTGGGGTGAGGGAGGGAGAGAAGACATTAACTTCTGGGACAGACAGAGCTCCAGCCTGGCATTTACATTGAAGGCTTTCCATACAGCCAGCAGGATTTCTTGCCCAGCCTGCTTTCCTCTGTAGGGTAGTGGAAACAATAAGGAAGGATGAGATACTGGGGATGGTGATTGATGGAACAGGCTCTTTCTAAGTCACCACGTCTGTGGTTCAGGCTGCGGAGTTGGCCACGTCTTTATCTTGTTCCCAGTGTGTAGCAAGTTGACCCCAAATCCATGTAGGTGTGGCTGGTTTGTCATATGCACTTTCCTCCTCTTGAGTACTCTGGTGTGCTGGGGAGGGGTGGCGGTGGAGGAGGAATGGAATGTAGGGGCTGGCATCTAAAGGTACACAATAACTCACAGTGGGCTGTTTCTGCTTGGAGGACCCTGGCCATCCCCTTATGAAACCCCATACTCCACACTCCACCCCTAATTCCCCTGTCCTGTCCTTTCTTACAAACCCACATGTCTCTCCTATCCCTGCCTTGGGGCTAGACATTCATTTCCTAGCCTTGCAATCAGTTCAGGGAGGCACTATTCCTATGGCCCCAACTTCCTTAGTGCTGGAGCCAGAATGGTACCACTAATAAAAGCTTTGCCAAGTGCTTCCAATTCATTGTCTCATTACATTGTCCCCATGATTTAATGTGGGGTGGACAGTATTATCTTCTTTTTCTAGATGTGGAAACTGAGGCTTAGAGAGGTTCAAGGACTTGCTATGTCATGCTCAGCTAGTGAGGGGCAGAGCTGGAATGTGAGCTCTGGTCTCTCCGCCTCCAGGGTCCGTGGTTGTGACAACTGCTCCATCCTGCCTGTCTCTGGTAAAGATGAAATGACTGGAGGAGTTGCTCTTTCTGGCTAGCACTCACCTAGTGTTGCACACTTTTCTTTAAGTTGAGGCACTAGAACTGTTAACTGTTCCTTCTTTCCCCAGGGACCCTCCAGGGGCCAAGGGCTGCAGGCACAGAGGAAGACTCTTCTGAGGAAGGTGGGGCCTCCTTTGCTTACCTGCATGTCCAATGCAGAAAACAGATTTGCTGCCTCCTTCATTGTTTAGTTTGTCTGTACTTAATTGTACCTGAACGTCTGACACTGGGATGGAGGGAACTAAGAACATGAAATAAATATTTCTTAAGCACCTCATATGTGCCAGGTATTTTACACATAGGTACTTATATGCAATCTGCTGGTTCACTGATGGGGAAACTCAGGCTCAGAGAGGTTCAGTAACTTGTCCCGAGTTGCATAGCTAGTAGGTGGAGGAGTCAGGATTAGGAGCAGTGCCTGATTCATAGCCTGTGCGCCATGCCCGCCCCACTGCCTCTTGCCTGGTACTATCCAGAGCAGTGGAAGAGAACCCATTGTGTTGGCTTAAAAATGGCCTTTGCTGTTTTATTTTCTGTGGTGAAAGTGTTGCAGATCATGCAGGACTTAACTAATGTACAGGAATCCTTCCCGCTCCCTCTTTGGAACACTGGGTACCTAATGTTTTTATTCATCCCACTGAGTAACTGACTCTGATTCACAGAGCTCTCACTCAGATATTGAGAGAGACTACAAAAGAGCAGTAAAAAAAAAAAAAAAAAAAATAGACATGTTCCCTGACCACCAGGAGCTCCCAGGATAGTCAAGGAGAAGAAACTCCTGTGGAAAGATCAGAAAGTGCTCACAGGCCAACCTACTGACCGGAGCCTGCCATTCAAGCGAGGCTGTTATATGACAATTTCATTTACCCAACAGACACATCCAGGAGGGGTTTTATTTGTGTGACCAAAGAGTTCATTATAGGGTGTTTTTAATATAATTTTTTCTTTATATTTTGAGAAGGTAATCTACACACTTGGCAAAAAAGTAGAGTACACCCATTCCACTTATAGACATGGTTAGTTTCCAAAGACTGGATTGTTATGCAAAAATCGACATTATGCAAAAATAGAGGATGACCACATCAAATCACAAAATGGAGGATGACTACATCATTACATAACTGCCAAATTACATCATTACATAACTCCCAAACCACTGACAATCATGGCCCAGCCAAGCTGACACATAACCTTAACCATCACAGCCAGTGTTACTCTCGCCTTGCACCTTGGCGTTTGTTACTGCCAGACTATGTCATTAATGCGCAAAATAGTTGGATAGTAGATTTTTTACTCTTGCCGTAAATGTGAAATGTAGATAACAAGATAGTCAATAAGTTAGGAGTAGGTGTAGTGCAAAAGGATGTACAGTGAGAAGCAAGTCTCCCTCCTGCTCTGCTAATCCAGTTTCCTCTCCAGAGATTCCACTGTTAGGTAATGTTTTCTCATGTGTCTTTCCAGAGATGCTCTGTGCAAATATAAGCACATTGCTTTCCTTTTTCCCAAATGGAGCACTCTACACATACTGTCCTACAGATATTTATTTTCTTAGCAACTTATCTGGGAAATCATTTCATGTTCCTTTATATAGAGCTGCTTCAATTTTTTTTTTCCCAGAGCTTTGCAGTGTTCTGTTGGACAGATAAACAAAAATTAATTTAATCAGTCTCCTCCTGTCCCTGTCCTCAGATATTTTTTTTTCAGCATTCACAATACTTAATTCTTCTCCCCCATTAGCTACCACTCCATTTCTTTGTGTCACTCTACAGCAAAACTCAAAACATTGTCTATTCTTGCCATCTCCAATTTCTCACTTCCCATTCTATCCACTTTGTTGTTTTTGTTAGTTGCAGTCCAGTTGGTTCTGACTCATGGCAACCTTATGTATAATAAAATGAAACTCTCCCCAGTCCTGTGCCATCTTCATGATCTTTATTGAGATATAATGCACATACCATCCAATTTACCCATTTAACATGTACAATTAAATGGTTTTTAGTATATGTATTCACAAATGTGTGCAACCATCACCATAGTCAATTTTAGAACATTTTCATCACCTTAAAAAGAATCCCCATACCCTTTTGCTATTACACTTATCCTCCCACCTCCCCTCAGCCCTAGTGCATAGTAACTACTGATCTACTTTCTGTCTGTAGATTTTCCTATTCTGAACATTTCATATGAATGGAATTGTATACTATGTGGTCTTTTGTGACTGGTTTCTTTCACTTAGCATAATATTTTCAAGGTTCATCCATGTTGTAGCATATATCAGTACTTCATTTCTTTTTATGGTCAAATCCCTGTTTCCCTCAAATATTTGAAATGGTGAATTGTCTAGTGCATTTACCATTGGAATATAGTAGTAAAAATTAGAGTTACATGTCACTTTTAGGGAGGTTCTCTGTTGAGTAACACAAGGTCTGCAGGTGGGATGAACCATGTCCTAACAAACTAGGAACCTAACTCCTAGAGAGGAGGGGTCTAAGATGGAGAGTTGGGAGACTCCAGCCGTGCCCCTGCTCTGTTGCAGTGGAGTCTCACTCACTTGTCATATTGTGCTGTGGCTGTTTCTGTGCTTGCCTACTTCTCCCCTTACAGTGGAGTCTCACTCACTTGTCATATTGTGCTGTGGCTGTTTCTGTGCTTGCCTACTTCTCCCCTTACAGTGGTTCTCATAGTGCAGTCCCAGACCAGCAGGCCCTGGCAGCACTTGGGAACTTGTTAGAAACACAAATTCTCAGGTCCCATCCCACACAAACTGAATCAGAAACTCCAGGGGTGGGGCCCATCAATCTGTTTTAACAAGCCCTCCAGGGGATTCTGATGCTCAAGTTTGAGAACCACTGCTAGACTGTGGCTTTCTACAATGGGCTGCACATTAAGAATCACCTGGGAGCTTGTAAATAACTGGACAAACACGCCACACCCCAGACCAATTAACACAGAACATCTAGGGGTGGGGGCCCAGGCAGCGGTAGTATTTAAAGCTCCCCAGGTGATTCCAATGCACATCTAAGGCTGGGCCCCTGCTTCATTGCAAACTTGAGCCATCATCAGAGTCACCTGAAGGGCTTGTGACAACGCAGATTGTGGGCCCTGCCCCAGAGTTCCTGATTCAGCAGGTCTAGAGTGAGGTCTGAGAATCTGTACCAGGTGGTACTGAAATTTGGGAAACACTGGCCTAGAACAACTGGTTCTGAGGCTTGGCTGTTTGTTAGAATATTAGGGAGTATTTTTCTAGAAAAATTAAAGCTTAGAGTCCACCCTCAGAGATTCTGATGTAATTTAATTGGCCTAGGATGGGGCCCAGGTGATTCCAGTACGCAGCCAGGGTTGGGATTCACCACCCTGGACTGCAAGCTTGTTGAGAAAAGAGAGATGGTTTTCTTTTGTGTCCCAGCATCCAACACTGTCTTGTCCACACATTGACTGTTCAGTAAATGTCTGTTAAGTGAATGAAAGGGCCGGGAACAGCTCTAACCAGTGAGCCCCACCCCTGCCCCTTGGACCTGAGGAGTGCTTCTGGGAGCCTTCTCTGACTCACCCTGGACTGCTCCTGTGTAGCAATTACCACATTTCATTGTAATTGCTTATTTTGTTGCCCTCTGGATCTATTTCTGAAAGTGTGGTCTGTGGCTCACCTCTATCAGAACTATCTGGGCATGTTAAAATGCAGGTTCCAGGGCCTTTCTCCAGACCTACAATATTAGATTCTCTGGGGGTGGGGCCAGGGAATGTGCATTTTTAATCCACACCCAGGTGACTTTGATATGAGCTAAAGTTGGAGGGAGAGCCACTGTTCTAGACAGTAAACTTGAAGGGAGCAGGGACCTGTTATTCCTGTCTATCATTTTATCCCCAGGACCAGAGCAGAACCCAGCATAATGATGGGGTGGTGGCCATGGTGGGGCTTGCATTCTGGGATCAGAATGGAGTACCAGCAACTAGTTGCTGTCAGTGCTCAAGTGCCAAGCTAATCTGCAGCCTAAGCCCAGATCTTGGCAGTCCAGACCTGCAGGGGAAGAGAATTTTGAAGGTGGGTGGAGGGTCTGAGGCAATGGAACCCAGGAGCAGAAACGCCCCAGCTTCTGACCCAGCAATTGATACTTGGGCAGAGCTCGCAGGCCTGAGACCGGTATCATGGGTAGAGCGAGGGCCAGGTGGGTGCAGAGGGCCTTTGGAAATGGAGGTGTCAGATGTCCAGGCTGACCTCAGTGATCATCTTGTGCTACAGATCTGCTGAACTCCCAAGATGGACAGCAGAAGGTGCTGGCAGCTCTGAGGCTAAACCCAACCTTGCTAATGCAGTTCAGGCCACTCCTGGAGGACACCCTGGAGGAGAAACTGGAAAGCATGGGGATTCAGAGGGTAAGTTCCAGGGCTACTATCTTAAGGGCCGATACCTACAATTTAGATACAAGGTGTTCTTAGGCTGACAATGATTCGTTGCCCTTTACACTGTAAGCTCGCTCATCTGATGTGTTCTAGTCGGGGCTCCTTTGGTGTCCAGGAATAGAAACCCACGACACAGCTTCTCCCTAATCTTTAACTTTTTCTACTGCTGCTTAACCTAGTTTTGGCCCTATGTTCAGGCTTGATTAAATCTTTCAAAACTTGATTAAATATTCATCTTGCATTCAGATGCCTCCCAAGACCCTTGGATGAGTAGATGTCAAAAGTCCAAGCAACTTTCAATAGGTTTTGGAAGGGTACCTGGCTCCTGTCTTTTGCAGTTTATTTTTTCAAACATTGTCAGCCATTGATGTGTGTCTGGCACAGTGGTATTGTCTGGGGATACAAAAAGGAGCCAGCTGTGGTCTCTCTCATCCTACAACCTGGTTGGTGGGGGAAAAGCATGTCCAGTCTAAATCCCTTATGCTGTGATGTGGATGAAGTGATGCAGCCACTTTACATTATCCTTCTGTGCACATTTTGATGGGCCTGCAAACACTGAGCTATCACATTTCCAGCAACAGGTGGAACAGTGCTCATCCTACTCTGATCCTCATTTGGTGCCCTTCTAGAAAGCATCAGGTGCTGGTCACAGTGACTCCCTGGTCAGCAGCAACAGATTTGAGGGGCTTAGGGGAAGAAGAAGGGGAGCCCCTGTCTCCAAAGGTGAACTTCTGTCTCTTTGAGGATGCAAAGGGAATCTCTGTTCAGACTCTCAGACATCTGGAGACGCTCTTAAGAGCCCAGCGGGAGCAGAAGGCTGGAATGTTTTTTGAGTTTCTGAGCCTGAGGGAAAAGCTTGTCAAGGAAGCTACCAGCAGAGTGAAGGAGAGACTGAAGAACGGGGCCATGGTGGCCCAGCCAGATGGCAAGCCTCCAGGTAAGCTGGGGAGATGGCTTGCTTGGGGGCTTTGCCCTGGGAGGGTCCAGTTCTCACCAAAGCTTGTTTGCACAGGAGGAGGATGTGATCCCTGCCTACCTTGAGGGACGTTGCTCTGAAAGTCCAAGATGGCAGGGTCCTTAGAGGTTACTGAGTCTAAAAGCCCTTGTTGGGAAAACCGAGTCAGGGGTTAGGGTGGGGCGTGAGCCATGTGTCCAGGGTCACTCAGGGAATTGGAAGGAGATCCAGAGCTAGAACTTGTGGTCACCCCTGGACCTTCTCTACTAGACATGCTGCCTCACTTAGTTTAAATCCTGTGTTGCTTTACTTTCTTTGACCACAAGCTGAGCTTCTCTCCCAGAGTGCAACTTCATCCCATTTCTGGATCTATAAACCAAGTGTGTTAGTGCTGGGAGGTAGGCCCAAGGCCTGACAGCCTTGAGGCTGCAAGTGGTGGCAAATATAAAGCAAATGAAAACTTCCTCAGAGTGCAGCTATTCCCTCCTCTCGGAACCATGGGAGGGCATGAGAGGCTGGGCCAGTTCTTTGTGTGGGCAGATCCTCAGAGCTCAGGCTTGGTTTCCTGGGCCTGGCTACAGCTGCTGCTTTGCCACTTGTCCCTGCTCCTGGGGGCCATCACAAGGAAGGCCCAAGTCTATGCATAAGGACCCTGGAGTGTCTGTCCTCAAGGAGGTTATGGAGCTAGAGAACTTGTGAGAGCCCCAATTCCTAGAGGATTCCTAGATCCACTGGTAGGCTTCAGTGGGCCTGGGTCCTCTCATGCAGGGTGATGCTCCAGCTCCTCTCACAGTGTCTTGTCAGTTGTGAACATGTGTGGCTAGAAGGAGGTCAATTCAATTGTCATCTTAGGTCTAGGCAGACCGAGCTCTTCACACAAAGGAGTTTTCCTTGAATGTGGTCCATGTATCTGTGGGGATATGAGAGAGGATTTTAACCGGTACATGGACTGGTATTTTTAAAATTTAACTGTTATTTTTCTTCATGTGAATTAAAAAACATTACTAGTATATCAATCCTGTGATTTCATGGAAATTACTACTTGGACAAGAGTAAATCAGGTATATTATGTTTAAAAGTAGTGTCATTTTATATAAAAATGTTAAATAGATAACAGGACAGGTGGTATGAGAATATGGCAAAAATTGTGTCGATGATCTGGGAAACTCTGTCCTATTTAGTTTAAACTTCCAGCCTTAAAATCTCTAAGGAAAGGATAATTCTTGGTCTTGCACAGAAATTTCAGGCAGAATTCCTTCATTTCAAGGGTATTTGTCTTGGTTGCTAACTTGTCTTTCACACTTCAATTTAAGCTTGTATTTCTCTGCTTATTTGCTCAAACTTTCACTCATTCATTCAGTCCTTCACATAGTACAGTGTTTGCTGAACCTGACTATGCCAGGACCTGCTCCTCCCCTGGAAAACCAGTCAACCAGTCAGGATGAGGTAGACTAGGACTGTGATGGAGTCATGCACAGGGGTGGTGGGAGCTCAGAGGAGGGAGGGACCAGGGACTTGGGGAAGATGAATGGAGATGGCCTCCAAGTCCCAGCTTCCAAGAGAAAGGAAAGGGTCTTCCTTCTTCTAGGTGCCATCCTCCCCCTCCAGTCCTTGTTCCGTGGTCAGAAAGCAGGGGGTGAGAGACCGCCGTTTGCCTTGTCTCCCTTCACCTGCCTTGTGGTTCTGCCTACTCGGGGGTACCACTGAGGTCTGAGGTAAGCATTGTGGTTTTAAGGCAGACTTTGTAGCCTTCCAGCTCCATGACCATGTGCTCCCTTTCCGGGTCCCACAAGTGCTATACTAATGCTCTTCTCCCATCTAGGCTCAGACAGTGCCTCTTCTCTTGTTTTGGAGCAAGGCTGTGCAGTGTAGCAAAGGCAGTGGCAAGAGCTCTAGAACTGGGGCAGACTGACGACCTGGGTTCGCATCTACCACTTACTTCCGTGGAATCTTGGGCAAGCAAGTCCCTTAATCTCTTGAAGCCTCTGTGAAGCAGGGAAATGACAATCTCTGAAGATGCTCTGAGGTCTGCTTCTGAAAATGCATTCTGAGAGCAGTGTATTTCAAATGTTTTTGACCTTGAACTACAGTAAGAAATGCATTTTACATTGTAACTGAGTCCACACATAAGAGTTTTATGGAACAGTACTTACTCTGACTCTCTGTAATACACTTTCTCTCCTCTTCTCTTTCCATAAAAAGATTGCTGATCTTGGACCCCTCCCTGGGTCTTGATGCAGTTTGAAAAACAAGAGAGGGTGTGTCCAATAACATGTCTTTGGCACTGTCTTGCCACAGGCAGCCTTGAGGAGGAGGTTGTGGGGGGACCTTGAAGGCCCATGTGGTCTTATGGTGACCTCTGGTGGCAGCAGAGCCTTCTGCAAGGCTGCTCGCATTCCAATGACTGCAGCTAGAATGGGTAGAGAGGGGAGATGGCCTTGGTGAGGTTAGCTTCTAGGACCTCTGTGGTGAGCTGCAGACTTGCTGGACTCCTCTTGAGGCTGGCTGACTCCTGTTTGTCTTCTGTAATGATGATATGACCTTGGGACACCTGGCTTGCCCTCCTGGTCTCTGATGAATTGGCAGTCCCAGCCAGGGACTGGAGTCAGGCCAGCAGCAGGACATCTGGATGGGGGGGGGGG